GCTCAAGGAAGCACCAGCTCCATCCAGACTGAGAAAGAACAAGCTCCACAGTTACACCAGTCTCAGGGGGCCACTACCTTAGATGGGTTTTAAATCCTTGTGTAAATGCACTTATGTGGGTATAATGTTTCAGAGGTTTATTCAGGTTTCTAGTATATTTGCCAGAGTACATTAGCAGAGACTTGCTTTTAAGCAAATGTGTCATCCTGCCACAGTTAAGCACATACTCAAGTTTGCTGACCTGGATATCAAAAACAGATGTGTAATGCTGACAGCTTAGTGGGACCACTCAGCACCACACAAAAAAGCAGCTTAGCGGGGACACTGCTTTCTGTTCCTGCTCTGCTCTAGGTAGGATGACTGCTCCAAATGACAGAGGGAGGTGTCAGCAGTCAACGTGGTGTTTCCTGAAAAGCAGCAGTAAAGCTAGCTCAGCTCAAAGACCTTCAGGCACTGTTCTGAAAAGCTAAGGATATAGAAAGACAGCAGAAAAGAAAGTAAGAGCAGGTAACAAATACGAAAAGGAAAAAATTAAAGTGTAAAACAATGGTGACACCCAGGAAGTATGTAAGACATGTTTGTTTGTGTCTAGCACCACAAGGGATAAACTACACCTGCCTGACAAACCCCTTGCAAAGTGGCAGCCATTCAAGCCTTACATATGTTATTAACAGGCCAGAAAGCAATAAAACCTGTTGTGTGCAAGTAGAGCGCTCACTGCAATACTCAAAGGGGCCAAGAGATGATTGTTTCAGTTAATCCCTCCCAGGAAATACATATTTCTCTGCAAAGGGAGCACCAACTAACTTGTAGCAGTAGCTGGCACTGTGCTTGTAGTAGCGGCACAGGTTCCCATTATCAGGAGGCGTCGCGCAGAAGAAGATGGCTGGGGACAGGTTGTAGCGGCCAGCTTTGCAGAACTCATCCATTTCTCTTGGGACACCAGGCTCAATGGCCACTCGATCACCTGCCAGGGTCAAAGCACGCTGTGTTACTTTAGAAGAACATGGGCACATTGGCAGCACCAAACAACCACAGAAGACAGCATGAAACCCTGGCACAAGAGAAGCAGGAGGGACACCTGCTAACTGAGAAAGATCATGCTGCACGCACCAGGTGAGTTCCTAACACTTCCTTCACAGTGGCCTCCTCCCCAAGATCTTCAAGTTACTTGAGCCAGTGTTTCAGAAGTGCAGACACATAAAAACACATACGAACACATTCAAACCTCTCTCCAGCTGCCTTGCACTCAACCTTAGCAGATGAAAAGGCAGCCCCCACCCCAGGCAATCATGTGATAACCAGAGCTTTTTTCAGAATCCATAGTAATTGGAAGAGGAAATAATTAGGACAAAGCAGGTGAGCTCTGCTGGCCACCACGCTGTCAGCTGGAAAGGGCTGCTCCATTGGGAACAAAGCTTATGGTGCAGAAGCACATCCAGGAGTCAGGCAGAACTTACTGGGGAACAGAGACATCATCATGCTTTGATGGAGTAACCCAGACTGCTGGAAGGACTTATGCTGCGGGACAAAGAGCAATTATTTAATTGCAATTATGAGGCAGGATGGACTAAACAAAACAAGTGTGTGACCGCAGTACAAGGGACACAAGACAGCCCATTTTATTTGGCAGAGGAAGACAATCAAAGGCAAATCTCTCAGCAAATCTCTCCACCAACATGCTTTCAGTCAGACACAGAGACAAGCAGCAGGATGGATAGAAGTAAAAAGCCATCCAGCCCACTGCATCACCTCTGATACGGCAAATGGGAGATGTCTCAGGGTGAGAGGAGCAGGAGAAGCACATTCTGAATGTTCTCCCAGTCTCTCACTATATTCAGCTGTGGGGCCTCCTAAGCTGCATGTGGCTTCTTTGTATCTAGTAACCCTCAACATTTCTCTTCCTCCTTCCACCATGTAAAATTTAAGCATCCTTTGCCACGGCGGCCTTCAGGTGAAGCTGCAGCATCTTAGGTAAATGCTGCATCTGGCTCCCGCTGTCCCTTGCTGTTGTATTGGAGGAACCAGAGAACAGGCAATCTTCCATAGAATCACAGAATCATGGAATCCCAGGTTAGAAGGAACCTCAAGGATCATCTGGTCCAACCTTTCTTCGCAAAAACACAGTCAAGACAAGATGGCCTAGTACCCTGGCCAGCTGAATCTTAAAAGTATCCAACATTGGGGAATCCGTGACTTCCCCAGGGACATTATCACAATAGCTAATTGTTCTCATTCTGAAAATTTTTCCTCTGGTCTCCAACTGTAATCTTCCCAGGAATAACTTGTGCCCATCACCCCTCATCTTTTCCATGGGACTCCTTGTAAAAAGGGAGTCTCTGTTGTCTTTGTAGCCACCCTTAAATACTGGAACATGGTGATAAGGTCTCCCCTAAGCTGCCCTTCCTCCAGGCTGAACAAGCCCAGCTCTCTCAGCTTTTCCTCACACAGCTTCTCAGGTCTTAGATCACCTTTGTGGCCCTTCACTGGACCCTCTCCAGCCTGTCCACATCTTTTTTGTGCAGTGGGGACCAAACTGAACTCGCTATTCCACGTGTGGCCTGACAAGTGGTGAGTAAAGTGGGACAATGACACCTTTGCCAACAAGGTGATGCCTTTGTTGATGTTCCCCAGCACCCTGTTGGTTTTCTTTCCTGCAGCTGCACACTGTCCACTCCTGTTGAGCTTGTGCCCTCCAGGAGCCCCAGGTCCCTTCCCACAGAGCTGCTCCCAGACAGGCAGATCCCAGCCTGTGACGCACTCTTGACACTTGTCCTTGTTGAGCTCCATGACGTTCTTGTTAGTCCATGCTTCCAGCCTATCCAGGTCACCCTGCAGGTGCATCTCCCTGCCAAAGTGGCCACTTCCCACTCAGTTTGGGTACATTTGATCCCACTTTCCAGATCATTTGTGAAGACGCTGAATAGCGCTGGGCCCAATATCGATCCCTGGGGGACCCCACTGGTGACAGGCCCCCAGAAGGAGAAGGAGCTGTTCACCACCACGCTCTGGGTGCCCGTCAGGAAGTTGCCCCCCCGTTGCACAGACCACTTGTCTAGAGTGTAACACATCAGTTTCTCTAGGAGGAGGCTGTGGGCAACTTTATGTGCCCTCTCCCTGCCCTCCATGAGCCTTCAGACCTGTATCAGATGTCCTTGAGATGTCTCTCCACCTCCTAGGCTCAAGTTCCTTAGTCATTCATCACAGAGACGCTGCTCCACATCTCATCATCCATTTGTCCTCTGAAACTTTTTCACTTCTTTTATATCCCTTTGGAAAGGAGGAGACCTGCATGCAGAGCTTCAGACATGCAATGATGTCCTCTGAGTCTCTACCCTTTTCCTAAAACCAATTTGCATTTTTCACCATTACCGAGCCAACATTACCATGCCCTGTGTCAGAGTCAAAGGTCTCACTCTTCAGCAGTGATGGTCAGCCCATTTTAGATATGAAGCTGGTTTTGTTTCTCCTGTCATGGACACAACTTTCTGTTTACCTGCACTGAATTCCACCTGCGTCTTACTGCCCCAGCATCCTTAAGGTCTCTGTAACTCTTGCTAGCTCTTCCATGTCCTCTTCACCCTGCTATGTTGCTGCCATCAGCAAACTTTGACAATTCACTACTCAGCCCATTTTCTAAGACATTCATGAGCACAGTGAAGTGTAGAGGTCACACTTGGGGCCTGGTACAGTTGCTCCAGTGACCTTTTTCCACTGCAGGAGGTCATTTGCTCCTTCAAAAACACACACAGCAAAGAAACATTAATAGCAGGTTGCTGGCTGGCAAGAGCAATGTACATGGTTTTTGAGGCCTTATCTAGCTTCTTCAAAAGGCACCTTCTACCAGCATACATCCCACTCGGCATTAAATTGAGGTCGGACCAGCTCAAAATACCCCATAATAAAGCATACCTAAGAAATACCATAAACAGTGGCCAAACTGAGTGATTAATTGCAGCACAGTGACAACTTCTGTTTAAAGGAGAAGGTAACACTGTGCAATTCACAGCTCAGAAGATCAGATAAATGAATGTAACAGAAAAGCACAGCCTGTCACCAATGAATTCTCCAGAACTGATCCACTGGAAAACAAATAAAAAGACAGTTTTGATTTCAAATACCTGGCTTCAGGTGTGTCACCCCTGATCCCATTTTGACCACAGTCCCGGAAGCTTCATGCCCCAGCACCATGGGATCCTTCACAACAAAATCCCCAATTCGACCGTGCTGCCAGTAGTGAACGTCAGAGCCGCAGATGCCCACGGAATGCATCCGCAGCAGGACCTCTGCAGAAAGGGAAGAAAGGTTCCTTGTAGAAAAACTTCCCTTCTTGGGCACTGGGAGAGTGACACATGTGCTGTCCCTGTGCCCCACATTAAAGGCCAGGCCAGCACTGAAACATTATATATATATAGTATATATACTAGTATATATATTTACCAGAATATATATACCCAAACTGCATGGGCACACATTAAGATTCATGAGACCCCTGAAAAATAAAAACTATACACAGATGTACAAATCAGGAAAGCTTAAAACATGGTAAGGCCCCTGTCAACAAAAGCTAATACAATCTAAGAGGGGCATTACTATTACTGGAGCAAGAATAAAAGAGCAAGTCCATTTAATTTTTCCTTCTCCCTAAGCTTCTCAGCCCTGGAGAGTTAGTGAATCAAACTTCTACCAGTCCACATGCCTGGCCTATTAAAATACAGTCCTGCAGTAAGGTCAGCTGACATGTCCCAAAAACTACTTAATGTGAAATACATGAACTGATGAAACAGAAAACAAAAAAAGCCAGATAAAGAGGTTTATCTGTGACTGTTCCAGCTCTTCTTTTCAAGTGGAAATGCAGCATTATCTCTTTCAGCCACGCATTCTTTTTTTGATTGTTTTACACTTTTTCAGTGGTATTTTATTTCTTTATAACATCAAGGAGTGACAAAACAGAGTGAGAAAAGAGATTAGTAAAGAAAGCAGACACAATCAGTCATCTCTAGACCTACCATTGGGACCTGGTTCCGGGATTGGACGGTTTTCCTATGGACAAAAAGGAAGAGAAAAATCATTCAGCTGCCTGTGCATAGATATGGGAATTCCCCATCGGAAGTCAGTACAGGTAAACCTGTAAGCAGACTCAATTACTGTGCAATGAGAAGGGATAAAACTGTGCAGTCCACACTTCCTCCCTAAGCTCACCCCATTTTGCTTACACAGTGGAGTAACATGGGCATCTGTCCCAACTAAGCACACAGCCAGCTTGTAAATCCACTCTCCAAATTATTTTGCAGTGATTTCCCCTTCCCTGCCCAGACAAGAGCCACAGACTAAATATTCCTGCCCTGCAATAGCCTCAAGTTTCAGTTGAATTCTTCCTCCCACTGGCTGACAAAAAAACTCCCCTTCTGTAACCAGGAAGATTCTGAACCAGCTATTTCTGTAAAGCATTAATATTGTAACGTTTGTATTAAAAGTATTAGGAAATATTTTTACTACAAAATAAGCACTCATTGTATAAATCAGTTGTAAGCATTACTGTATATCACATTTAAAGTCACATCCTCTCATAACTGGCATGACACCTCTTTATGGGCTGAATGATAAATGTAGTCACTTGGCTCCAAGTCACCCACCCAAATAGTCTGCAGGTCTCTGACTTCACTGAACTCCCTCAGCTGTCTCAAAACACGAGGGAATCATTTTGCTGGGTTTTACAACAAGTCAGCACGATACCAACCTAGCACTCACCTCTAGGATCATGTCTCTAAGAAAAGCCCAACCAAAGTAGTACTAACAATGAACTCTTCATAATCCACTTGCTACTTATATTTTCATGCAACTTAGACCCCTTTACCCACAGCCCCAAGTTGGGTGCAAGGCCTCTGAGCAGACCTATTCACGCAGTTCCTCTTCAAAAATGTGGCGCATATACATTAGTGAGACCAAGAGTATCTTCAGTTAGCAAAAAAATTTACCTCTTGATTTGAGAGATGAGCAATCACATTACAGCATGTGATTGTAGAAGCTTCACCAGTTAGAAGCTGCTACAGAGCAACGAACACAAGATTTTCTGCTGCCCTCCTGCAGAGAAAGCAGAGTATCCCCTCCTGCGTTTGGGGAGCACTATTTGGAGTTTTAGCTAATTAATACATTTTCAAGCCCAGCACATTCCTCAACTCATACTTTGTACATCATCAATTTAAACATCACAAAGACAAATTGTGAAAACACATTCTCAAAGCACTGCTCTGTTAAAATACCTGCTGGAAGTGGGCAGGATGGGAGCAAGTCAAAGTACAGCTCAACCTAGTGAACTTTTCAATGTTCAGGACTGTATCTGCATTTTTCCTATGTGGGGTATTTGTTCTGTTCCACTAAGGACATAGCCCAGAGAATTATTTTTAAATGAAGTGGATCTAGATGTAACTTATTCTATAGAAAATGTCCAGTAAGCACCCAATCTGGTAACAAACCACCTTCACTATCTGAAACAGAACAGTCCATGGTGAGAGACAAAGCAAGCTAACTTCTAGCTGAAAACGGGTATGTGGCAGTCCAGAAAAAAACCCAAACACTGTATTTTCAATAACAGCTGTGCCAAAACCCCCATATCTTGGTAGAAAGTAAATCCTCCAGCCTGATTTGCAGAAAACAGGGAGTGACTGAACTGGAGGATGTCAGAGCATTTCAGGACGCATGTTCTGCTTGCTGTCCATCGTCCACCGAGAAGTTCAGAGACAGCAACTAGCACAACTGGGGATGTGAAAGAAATGCAGCAAATATTTGCTGTGAAAGGAGGCACAAAGAGAGGATACGGTACGTTCATAAAAACCAATAAAGTCTCAAGGGGCAGGAAATAGGAGCCTGTGGCAACCACCTAAGATCAAGAGGGATCAACAAAAATGAAGCCAAAATATTTTTGCATAATGCAGGTCAGTCACAGTGACTCTCCCCATGGGAAACACATTCACAAGACTCAAGAACAGTGTGGGAATTATGGGAACACAATCTCACCTAACTTTAGGTATCAATAATGCAGGTAACAAGTTCAGAGTTAACTGCCTAGACTCCTTACATGACTGGCAAGGCAATGCAATGAGTGCCACCGACATTGTGGCAAAGAAACATTAGAGAAGCCCAGGAGGGTCACACCCTGAGGGGCTGCAAGTAAGGCCAGGGGAGCACTGACAACCACCTCCAGGGTCTCCAGCAGTATGAACATCCCAAGAAAACTCACGCATCTGGATGTAACCAGTTTAGAGACCAGCAACAGAGATAGGATGGAGCCAGCATCCACCCTCACAAGTCCCAGACACCTTCAAGTTTTGGAGACACTTTCTTGAACTACGGGGACCATCTCAATTCTCACTCACTGTGGTGATGGCTTTTATTTCTAGTAGAAGTCAGGCTGCATGTGCTCTAGGGAAAGTGCAGTTATATCAAAGGAATTACCCACATGGACCCCATTTGGCCTTTGGCACATGCCGCCTGAGCTGTGCAGGAACTGTAAAAAATCAACTGCTTCCCTGATAATCATCCCCTAAACAAGCTGCTGCACATAGCCAAAGCCTGCATGTTCGTAAGAGCCCTCCTGCCAGAACTGTTTGTACAGAAAACTGCCTGTCAATGTTTGCTCATGTTAATCTTCCTTCCCCAGTTTGGCACTTGCCAAATGGGCAAACACAGACCTCCAGCAACGCTGCAATGATTCAGGACCCAGGAATATTCAAGCACTCAGAGTCAGAGAAGCAGAATCAGTCTGAAGCACCCACTGAAAATAAAGGCCCCTGTCTACAGGAGGGTACTCCAGCACAAGCACAGGCATGACCTCTGCAGCTGCTTCCTCTGAACCCTCCTGCCTGCTTCTCACTTGGGCTCTGACATCCAAAGCAGCAACATGTCGCCTTCCAGTTGTGCCTTCTGGCACACAATGTCCAAGGGACTGTCAACCGAACAGCACCCACCCCCCGTCCCTCCGCTCCACCTCGCTCCTTCCAAAGAGTCCCCAAAGAGGGGCTCGGGTGGCTCTTAGCCAAGGGGCAGCCCCAAGCTTCGGGGTCCCTGCACCCGGCTTGGTCAGCCCTGTCGGACACGGGTGCAGCCGCCGCCCTTCCCGCTCCCAGCCCGGAGGCAGTTCAGCTCTCTGACACGGCACCGCTCGGGGGAACCGGGCCCTCTCCACCCCTCAGCCCCAACGGGCTCCCGGC